TAGGAGAGAGTGGCGTTTTATGTTGCTGCCGTTGGAAAGGATTTTTGAAAATGAATTTATTTACAGTCTCCCTGTCCTTCTTGCTTCTGACTGATGGGAGCATAACACATTCATTTTTACATAGTCAGGATAAAACCAGCCATATTAATTCATATAACCTGTTGATCCAAGAACACCATGTTTAATTGACCTTACGCTCAATTTGCTTGAATGAGCTTATACTTTTCTGTCAAATAAACATAAAAAAGAACTTTTATCCAGCATATATAATGTTTTTGTCCAAATTTCATTTTTTTTTCAGTTTAGTGTAGTATTGGAAACTTGAACTTTGTAAGGAAGTAAACAAAACAATGAAACTCAATAATATTTTAGTTTGTTTTTTCCCCCAATTGGATATGCAACAGTCTAAACAAGAGTTTCTCCAAGATACCTTTTGTTTTATTCATACTCTTGCCTGGAGACATTCAGGAGGCTTTCAGTCATCTATTAGTCAATAATTTCCATTTGTGACATGTTAATTCGTTCCTTAGTCCTTTGTATGAGTGGAAACTGTGACAAGTGATTTGTTGGTGCCAGAGCAGATTGTATCTCTTTTATTTGCACACATAGGCCTATAAATTGAGAATAAGTCCCATCAGCTTCAGCTCTGTGCTCAGCCTAAAGAAGGCTGTCAGACCCTAAATCACAATATGTCAATTTTCATTAAGGATAATGAGGAAAACCACATTTGTCTTTAAAAGGCTGGCTTGTCTTTTATTTATTTTCTCCTGGTGGGAGCTGTTTTCATGATCTCTCACCTACTCCTAAGTGATGGATCTTGCCCACACAAGTTCCATAGACAGATTTGGAAATTTGTAATAGGACAGTGGATCTCATCTGTTGATCTTGGAGCATGCAGAACAACTTTGTGAAAGTCCTGAAGAACAGGATACCTGTTCAAGTTCACACTGTAAAAAATAAAATAAAAATAGAAATAAAAAATATGTCTATTTGGGGTCAATTTATAGGATATAGGGTATCATTTATTTGCATCTGAATTTTCTATAAGATATTATACTATATAAAATATTTTAATAAAAAATAAATTTATATATATATATATAATTTATATATATAATTTTTATATATATTATTTATCTCAGTGATTACCTTGATGGAATTACATGTTTTCAGCCCCTAGCATTGCCAGGCTTGAAGTTTTTCTCTGGATCTTGTGGTGTGAGCTGTGTCTGGGATACCCCAGGGAAGGGTTTGTGGGGAAGCTGCCACTCCAAGGCTCTGCAGAAAGAAAGGACTGTGGTAGAGTTCCTAGGGAACAAATCCCTTTAAACAAGGTGTGAGTTCTTTTCTCTGGCAGAGATGACTCTATAAGTGGATATTTTTCATCTTTTCCATTGTCATAAAATAATACCTCTTATCAGGACTTTTCTTGAGAAAGTTGTGTTTCTTATAGGATTTCCTCCTGTGTCTCTACACACATTGTATTAAACAAAATCAAATGTTATAAATAGGAAGCTGGGAATAATTTATCCATGACAATTGTTTGCAAGGTTATTTTTTTTAGTAATTAAGACAAATTATTTTGATAAGTGCTTTTTGGTGGATAGGTATTCTCGTTGTTGGTGTTGTCAGTTGCTGGATTCAGGTTCCCCACTCTCCCCAGAACTGTCAGCACTTGAACAAAAGGCCATGAATAGCTTGTGATTCATTATTTTGTGGGTGGCAAAAAATAAAATTGTAATTATTGCATGGAACTTTTTTATAAAAGCTGATGTTTTTTCTCCCAGAGGAAAGCTCATTATTTTTATATATGGCTCTGTAAAAGTGAAATACTCCCTAACTTTTGCTGTCATTGAAGCACTTCCCTCCCCCAGTGCAGTTCAGGGCTGCATTGTGTTAGACACAGCACAGATCAGAGCAGTTCTTTAGGGCAGGATAATCTACATACTATCCAAAATAAATAGAGAAAAGTTGAGAGGCATGGCCTGGAATGCTGTGCAATCAATTATGGTGTAACAATCCCTTTTCCTGGGTGCCTCCCCAGTGTGGGGGCACTTGTTCAAACCCTTGTGAATGCACAGGGGCTCTGCTGTTCTTGGAGTGATTCTGGGCTGCACCTCTCTCCTCCAGGGTGGGACCTGGCACATGGAGAACTTGTCTGCACTGTACTCCAGTGAAATGCCTCAGGCAGAGCCTTTCACAGCAGCTGCTGGACTCCTGCAGACCTTGCGACCGTTACTCAGGGGTTTTACAGTGTCTTCCCTCCCAAATTCTCTGCAGAAGAGTGGTTCTTGCAACTCTGTACTGACAGAGATCCTGGAATCCCACAGTGGGTTGAGCTGGGTTGGGAGGGACCTTAAAGCCAATTCAGTCCCACCGCTGCCATGGCAGGGATGCCTTCTACCATCCCAGGGTGCTCCAAGCCCTGTCCAGCCTGGCCTTGGGCACTGCCAGGGATCCAGGGGCAGCCACAGCTGCTCTGGGCACCCTGTGCCAGGGCCTGCCCACCCTCACAGGGAGGGATTTCCTTCTAAAATCCCATCTAACCCTGCCCTCTGACAGTTTAAAACTCCCCCCTGTTCACAGGACCCTTTCCTGTGCCTCTCTCTTGGAGCCCCTTCAGCTTCTGGAAGGGGCTCTAAGGTCTACCCAGGACCTTGTCTTCTCCTGGCTGAGTAGCCCCAAATCTGTGCCAGGGCCTCAGCACCTTCACAGGGAACAATTCCTGCCCAATTTCCAATCTAAATCTCCTCTTCTTCACCTTAAAGCCATTCCCTCTTATCCTGTTCCTTCGTCCCTTGTCCCATGTCCCTCTCCAGCTCTCCTGGAGCCCCTTTAGGCACTGGAAGGTGCTCTAAGGTCTCTCTGGAACCTTCTCTTCTCCAGGTGAACCCTCCAGCTCTGCCATCCTGGCTGGGAGGATCTGGGTGTCACAGCTCCAGCCCTGGTGGATCTGGGTGTCCCACTCAGCCTGCCCAAGCCTGGCTGGGTCAGGATCCCAGGCTGCTCCCTCAGCTGACAGCCTGTGCTGCCTCTCCAGACCTGCTGGCACCTGTGCTTGCTGAAAATAAATGTTCTCAGCTCATAGGAACTGAACCCAAATTTCAAAAATTTGTTTCTCAAAAGTTTAGTTTATATGAGTAGATTTTTAAGAGTAGTGTGTATACATTGCATGCTGAAGAAGAGGATTTTATGAGTAGAGTTATATCAGCAATGGGCATTTGTCAAGATCCTAATTTTTAGACCAAAACCAGAAAGTTTGAATTCAGCTCTAGCTATTCTACAAGTTCTTTCTGAGAATCTGGAATTTCTTGACTTGGGACCATTTTGTTTTTTGTTTCTCCTTCATTTCCACTGAAAGGCAGCATTGCCAGAGACCATCTTGCCCATGAATTTTCTTAGGAGTCTCTTCCTCTTCCCCATCTGTGCTTGCATTGCACTGGAATTTTCCAAGGTCTTTACAGTGTGTAACTTGATTAATTTGTTTTTTTAAATTGACTTCCTCCTGTTGATCCTTTACAAAATGAACATATATCATATAAACACAGGGGGAAAATTTTCTAAGAGAAAGTTGCATGTAGCTGTTACAAATTCATAATATATGACTGTTCACAGCACAGAATTGATCCAAATGTTTGCCTGGCTCATCTGAGTCACGTGCTGTGGTGAGGAAAAGGGAAAGTCAATAGGTCAGAAGTGAGGCAGGGCTTTTCAAACTCAATCTTCTGTGAACTGCAAGAGGCCAGCACACAAACACATCTGCAGTGTGGCTTGGCAGCAGCATCAGAGCCAGGAGTGTCAAGAGGGCTGTGTTTGATTAAAAATTATCATGCCTGGCTGCTGACACACAGATTCCCCCTTCCCCATCCCAGTGTTTTCTTTAGTTCTGAGTGTGAGTGTCTGCACCCACGTAAAGGAGATCCTGTAAGCAGAATTGAATCAAATAACTCTCATCATGTTCTCCCTTATTGCTGACATTTGTCACCTTGATGCATCTGTGAGGAGATGAGTGGAGACACAATGTGCTATAAAATAACTGCTTGATGAATCCAAATGTAAGTTCAACATTGAGTGCCACCGTTAATATGATGCTGACTTCCAGGTTAACAAACTCATAAATTGCCTCAGTATACATTTCCCTCCCTAAATTCAGCCTACCCTTCCCTCCCACATGAATTATTGTCCTATTGCATTATTACAAGTAAAGATGTTGCTGTTCTGTCGACAACCCTCGCTTGGTTGGGCTCTGAAAATTGGGGTTTTCTTAACATGACCTTCAAATATTCAGGTGCCAGTGTTCACAAATATGGACTGGAATTAAGGGTATTGGTTGATGCAGGCAAATATCAGCTGAGAGCTTGCTCTGTTGTAGTTTATGTGTTGAATCATAGAATTGTTAAGGTCGGAAATTACTTTTATAGATAATCAAATCAACCATCAACCAAACACCATGCTCACCACTAAACCACATCCTCAAGCACCACATACACACATTGCTTGAAAACTTCCAGGGATGGTTGCTCCTCAGTCCATTCCAGTGCTTTCCAACACTTCCCATGAAGATTTTTCCCCTAATATCCAATCTAAACTTTCCCTGGTGCAACTTGAGGCTGTTTCCTCTCATCCTGTCACTTGTTACCTGTTATTGAATGTGCCTTTGGGTCATGGTGTGCAGCAGGAGAACCTGATTGTTGCTTGAAGTGGAAACGTGCTTTTGTTTAGAGCGACTGTGTGATCACAAGGTGATAAAATAATACAAGCAAGCCAGCATTTCTATTTTGATTTGCAAGTTATGTAATTAAAAAGTGGTTCTTGCTAGCCCTGAATCTACTGGTGTATATAGCCTGCAATTTTAATATCTTTTCTCTCCCTAACAACTGGCACCAAACAGCTGCTTCCGTCAGAGGGAGGTTTGTGGTAAAAGGGAATTTTCAAACGGAGCTGTTTACACCAAAAATCCAACCAAACCCTCTCTGTTCTCTTTTTCCTTTGCTCTGCAGGCTCCTTCATGATGGTGAACAGCTCTGGGAGAGCATCAGGGCAGAAAGCTCACCTGCTGCTGCCCACTCTGAAGGAGAATGACACCCACTGCATTGATTTCCACTATTACCTGTCCAGCCGCGACCGCTCCAGCCCCGGCTCCCTCAACGTCTACGTCAAGGTCAACGGGGGCCCCCAGGGCAACCCCATCTGGAACGTGTCAGGAGTGGTGACTGAGGGCTGGGTGAAGGCTGAGCTGGCCATCAGCACCTTCTGGCCACATTTCTACCAGGTAGGGGTTTGTGATATTTTTCCCTCTCTCTCCCCTTCGTTAGTTTTGCAAATCGACACCTCCCTCCCTGAATTTTCCTCTCAGAATAAGTTTATCTATAGTGGATATATAGGCAGCTTGACTATTTCTTTCCTCCTCACTTTTTTCTTTAGTTTTTGGCAGGCTACACTGATAGATGGGAGGCAATTATTGACAAGACCCACTTGTGGTGAAATTGCCACTTGCATTGGCACTTTCCATGGCACTGTGTGACTGCAAACAAAACAGTTTCTAGATATATATCTATACTTTGTATAAATCTCCCTGGATTATTTTTGGACCTTGGTTCCATAAGAAGGAACATTTTTGGACTTGGCTTTGCATCTTGTGCCCATACAAGGGATATAAGGACATAAGGTACTAATAAATTCTTGTACCACAGTATCATATGTAGATATTCTTCACTAGCTCCTCAGCTCCTCCTCTTTCTAGCACAGCTTTATTTATTCTGTTAGAAGATATTTTTTTTTAGACAAGGACAAAGCCAAGGAAAGTAATGGCTATGCTATATTTTGGTTATATTAGTTTTACACCAACTTATTAGTTGTCTGCTTCAAACTTCATGTGGCAACTTTGCAGCCATTGTTTTAATTTCACTTAGATTATTCACACACAATGGACTCACATACTGCTTTTTACTGGTTGAAGGGGTATTTTTGTCTTGTTTTATATTCAAGACACACACCAAAAAAAAAAAGAAAAAAAAGCCTGGGAGGTAATTTCATCCTAAACCTTGCAGGAGATTTGATGTCCATGTGATACTAATAAAAGCCACGAGTGAGACAGGCACCGGGATAGAATGAACTATGAAAAGGCAGCAAATAGTCTGTGTATAAAAACCAGCAGGTAGAAAAGCCTCTCTTTTTCTTGCTTCTAATAACTGGGTAGGAGGTCTGTAAAATCTGAGCTGGAGGAAGATGCTTTAATGTTCTGCCTCTGAAAAGAGTTGTGGATACCAGCAGAATCCACAGAGTGCACCAGGCGGGCGAGAGGGAAGGATAAAGAGATGCAAATGTGTGGAAAATGGTGTTTTATGGGCAGTGCACAACTTGTGACTGCTCTGAAGGCACACTGGAGTGCCCCTACTCCATTCATATTAACATGATCCTGGGCATGAAGCAGAATTTGCTTCATCCTTGGTGCTCCACAGAGATAACAGAAATGATCTTTCACCCAGAAAATCGGTGCTTGAAAAACCTGCAAAAGGCAGCCTGATCTCACACTAAGAGGGATCCTGCTCTCAGATATATCAATAGGAGGCTTCCTGAGCCTCACTTAGGTCTTTTACAAGTGCTTTGGCAGGTCAAGTTTGCTTTTCTTGAGCAAAAGAATCCTTTAAATCAAACAAGAATTTTCTATTGAAGCACAAAGCTGAATGGATTGGAAGGCAGCAGTACCTGCCCAGGAGTAGTTCCTTCCTAGAAAATGCAGGGGGATTCTTTTTAAATTTGTGATGAGTGAGAGTGATGTTTCCTTCTGATCATCCTTGTATTTTTGTTCCTTAACTGATTTCAGCCTCTGGTTTTATAAATCATCTTGTTGGTGGTCTGTCGTCCTGTGAGTTTCTACATTTAAGCAAGGTTTAAGAAAAAGTAAAAAGAAAAAAAAGAGAACTTGAAGCTTGAAAAATTGAAGAGGAAAATTATCGATATTTGCCAGCCTGAAGTAACACTTCTGCCTAAATAAGTCCAGAGGTGTGAGGATGACAAAACCTGGGTGTGTTGCTGCCTGAGAAGTGCCTTGTTTTTCACACTATGATCTAGAATGTGCCATTGCGGTGTTATTTAATAAAATCCTGGCAGGGCTTGGGTTGGAAGGGACCCCAAAGATCATCTTGTTCCACTCCTGCCATGGCAGGGACACCTTCCACCATCCCAGGCTGCTCCCAGCCCTGTCCAGCCTGGCCTTGGGCACTGCCAGGGATCCAGGGGCAGCCACAGCTGCTCTGGGCCCCCTGTGCCAGGGCCTCAGCACCCTCACACTTGCCATTTCTTTGTCAGCTTTAAATCAAAATGTCATTCCTAGAGAACTCTCTGCACACAAGAAGCCTGACAGCCTGTTCTGTGTTTTGAGAAGACCATGCAAAACCAACATTTTCCCTAAATATTGAACTCTGCATCAGGCAAAATGTCAATTATCCTCCTAATGCACAGAAACCACACCATCCTGGACTGGCATGTGCACCAAAAATTCAGCCAGGCAGAACAATCTGAAGCTCTCTGCCCTTGTCTGAGGCTTTGTCAAGTACTTTGAACTTTGGAGATGTGGCTAGTGGAAAACTGGGATCCAAAGCAGCTGCCAGAGGTTGTGTTTGAGGTCTGTGCAAGGGTCATGGGAGTCATCTGGCTGCAGAAGCACTTAGCTGAGACAGAAAAACGTGGGGAGATTTATCATGCCTACCCTGGAGTTACTTGTACTTGGATTCTCAGCCTGCGAATGTTTTCCAGCGTAGCGAGAAAAAGCTCTAATGGTTCTTGGAGAAAGGTAATACGTGTAATCTTGAATTACTGCTTGCCATAAGGATGAACTCAGTCCCAGAATGCAGCAAGGGCAGCACTAGAGCCTGCCAGGAAGGTGTTTTTGTGATGTATAGCAAGGAATGTTATTGATCCATGCCTGGAGAAAAGTGTTGTAGCACAACAGATGAGCTGGGCTAGGCTGCTAACACAGACATTGTTGGTAAATCACAGCTGCAACGGGGGCTTGTTCAGGGGGAGGGAAACATGAAATGACTTTGTGTTTGCAGACCTCAGGAGCATTTAAGAATGCTTTTTTTAAGAGTGATGCTTTGTATTGTCAGCTGTATTAATTTCTGTGGAGTCCTTTAAATGCAAAGCATTATTAATTGCAAAGCATTGCCTGCCTCAACCATCATGCTGCATTTCCAATTGGATTTAAAAGGACATGAGGGACACTGAGCATGAGATTTGCAGAAATGGGCCCAATAAACATTTATTCCTGTCTTTTCCCCATGTTGGGGCTCAATTCCCAGTTTTCAGGAAAGCTCAGATGCTTCCATGCTTCTCACTTTGATAGGGATGAGACACTTCAAAATACACAAAAAGACAATAATTTGTAAGTTTGAACTGGGAAAGGACTGGGAATATCTGAGTGTAAAGCAGAACAGAATAAAATAGTCTAACAATATTGCTTGAATTGAGAGGAATCCTCTACTCAGTGGATTCTGCACCAGTGGACAGGGATTTTTTAGAGCCTGAGTTGGTTATTATTAAGTCAGACTGTGCTGTATTAGAGACCCTGCACATGTTGGTAATTAACCAAAGCCAATTCTCTGTGTATTGGTGCTTACTTTTGCCATCCACTCATACCTGATGCCAGTGCCTCGGAGAACTTAGCAAGTTCTTGACTTGCAGATAATTGAGAATTACTTTGTTGTGGCTTATGACTTTTCACAAATGTAAAACCAAAATAAGATTTTGTAGCTGAAATGTTGCACTTGAATTCAGGTCTGAAGGGAGTTGCAGTAGAGCCTTGCATGACCTTCCCAGTAAATGGAATTTTTATAATTAATGATATTTAATTGCTAAAGTAATTATAATTTCCATACTAAAGACTCCTATTTTATACTCTTATTTTATACAGTCCCTAAAATGCCTATCAAGGACCTTGATAACACAAAACACTTGCTAATGGTTTTTGGATTACTTTATCTTCCAGTGGCTTGCTTTTTCCTAGTATTTCCTGGGCAGCCTAATTGTTGTCCAGTCCCTCTGGAGGAGAACTTTGTTTCTGCATATTTTTAGCACCTGAGCTTTTCTTAACTTGTCTTTGCCCGTTTTTATGTCTTTTTTTTAGTTATGGATGTATTTCAGGAGATCTCACATCTGACTGTGTTTTAAATTGGGGGAAGAGATCTTAGGAAGTCATGAAAACATAAGAAACCATGTTCTGGAAGCTCAAATGCAAAGAAAAATGAACATCAGCAATTCTGGTCAATTTTCATCCAGAGCAATATTTGGACAGTTGAACCTTTTACTGTATTAAATCTTTTGATGAAGGAGATAAAGAAGAGGCTGAACAGTGACAGGCTGAGAATGCCAGCTCTTATTTAGAACAAAAAGAGCTGTTGAAAACTGATTTTAAATAGTTAACTCTGAGTTCTAGTAGTGAATATCAGAAGTTACAAATGACTGGAATGCATTGACACTGATTCAGGAAGAGAATTCTGTCCTGTGTAGTGCTTTCTCCAATCTTCCAAGGCATACTGAGAACAAGATATAAAATTATTATCCACCTAATGTTCTTGGACTGGTGCTTAAGAGAATATAGGTGTGTGCATATACCCAGGACACTTATTGCTTTTCCAAATCACAGATGCACAGAGCTGTCTTTAATCCTATTGAATGTTGCTCTAATCCTTTGTTTTGCTTCCCCAACAGCTTTGGTGTTGCATTCACACACTGAATTGCCCTGGTATCCCTCCATTGTTAATAAAATGCCTTGAATGACTCAGACTTGGAATAACAGCAGAATTGGTGACTGCTGAAATTGCTGATGCAAATGTTCTTTCTCAGAATTTTCTTTTCTTTTGTATTTCAGGTGATATTTGAGTCTGTCTCTTTGAAAGGACACCCTGGGTACATAGCTGTGGATGAAGTCAGAGTCCTCGCCCATCCCTGCAGTGAGCACTCTTTATTTTTCTGACTGTACCAGCGTGGTGCAGGCCACAGTTTGTGTCCAAAGGAGAGATTTACCCAGTTGGGTCAGCACTAAAATGTCTTGTCTCCCTCCAAGACCCCTAAGGACTGTCAGCCTTGCTTAATTTCCTACTTTTGCAAATTGTACAGAAGGCAAAGCTGCTCTCAGTTTATGGCTAGTGGAATTCTCTGTACTTGCTAATAAACTGATGGTTTTGTTGTTTCTTAATCTTATTGCTGTAGAAAACAATCTAAAATTCTTCTCAAAACAACTTTTGAAAAGAACAACCAAATTGTTTCAGTGTTTTCTTGATAAGAGGCCTGTCCCAAAGGTTGGATGGTTTCAATATAATAGATCTGCTCAGAAAGCAGTGCAGAGATTAAAAATTAATCTTCTTCAGACACTGCACTTATACAGGAATAGAAACTAATGCAGGTTCATTACACTATTAAAAAATGTTAGTGCTGCATTTCTTCTTTTGCAGACACAACAATAAGCTGAGATTTATTTACTTTTTTATGTTTAAAAAACATTGTGCCTCAGTCTTTGAGCCTGAACTCATTTGGTTCCTTTACCCACCTCTTGTGGGGCTTGAGGACTTTGTATATTTTATGGAATGTAATGTACAGGTCCATGTAAAGATCTTTTTTAACAGCCCCCTCTTTCTGGCTCATGGTCTCAGTGAGTCAGTGACAGCTGCTCACAAAAAATGATGGATCTTATAGATGGAGTGAAATAAACTGTTTTTGCTGTGATCAGAATGTCAAAGAACATCTGCCTTTCAATGTGACAGACATGGTTCTGCTCAAGTTTAACAGGACATTTCTGATAACTGCAGTATGCTTAATTGCTGCTTAAGTAAATTATATTTGTATTTACCATGTGCTCGTTGCTCAGGCCTTTGGGTGCATTTACTTCATTAAGGAATACTTACAGTCTGTATTAACCAGATGTTGCTGATATCTGGCAGCATCCAGACAAATCCCTAAATGCTCTGTGCCTTCCACAGTGTGCTGGGTGATTGCTGGTCCCTTCACTGGCATAGAGGCCACTAAACAAACCCTGGGGCAGAGCCTCAACAAGAAAATGATGGGATTTAAAGCAGGCAGGCAGGATGCTGTGTTGTGTCCCTGCTTAATTAGGTAAACTGATTTTGAATCCATTTCTTCAAGTATATACAGGTCCTTGTTAAAATTAAATGCACTCTTGGTGACTCAGCAACAAAATGTTTGAGACAGAGTTGGTTGGTTGGGGTTTTTTTCAATCTGTTTGCAACCCCCAGCATACAGAGCCCATTGCAAGCTGAAGTTCTCTGCAGTGTCTGTAAATGCTGCTCCTGTCTGGTTCCCAGTGCTGCTTTTGTTGCTCAGCAGTGTCAGTCACCAGGGTGAACATCACCCACGTGCTCCCTTCCCTTGCACAGCCTTTGCCCCTCAGGTTCCTTTTACAGTTGTTGTAAATCAAAACACAGGGGCAGTGAAGCTCCTGGTGGCCCTGGAGGTTACTGAAATCATTGGTCTCATTTCTTCATTTCTGCTTTACCTTCACAGATGACAAAGGCAGGCAAACCAGTCAGCAAAAAGCAGTGAAATACCCCTAATGACACAGTAATACAGAAAAATAAATGTATTGCTGGTGCTTTTTTTTTCCTTTGTCCTGTGAAGCAATACCATTTTCCTTTTGCTAAAAGCTCATTGGCTTTGTGTGAATGACCCTTTGCCATCACAGCACATCTTGCTCCAGAGGCTGGGCACACCCAAGGACCAGAATGTTGCCATTGATGGGACTCCACACCTTTGTATTTGTAGCTGACTTACAGCTGCACACCTTTAGACTGCAGGCACAAATATTAAAATTATCCTTAAATACCCTGTAGAATGTTCTGAATGTCACCCAGAGGGAGTTTGCCAGTAAAGCTTGATGCAAACCCCTGCTACCCAGAAAGCAGGATGGTACAAAGTCCCTGTCCCTGTCCTTCAGGAGCTGTCAGTGAGCTGTGCTGGATGAGGCACAGGAGCAGATAAAAACATTTGACATGGTATATGAACATGTGTTCTCTGCTCATGTGTCAAACACTTGTACATCAAGTTTCAGCCATGCACAGCCACAGATGCCCCCTTCCCTTTAAAGCTGTTTGCTCCAACAGAAGAGAGGTTATAGTGTCCTGTGAAATTATGTATTTCAGTGTCTAATCATACTAGAAAATGTGCAGATATTGTTGAAAAACACTGACCTTTTTAGGTGTTTTTTCAGAGTGTCATACTAAAATTTTTCAAATTATGCACAAACCTTTTTCTGCAAGAAAATAGTGCACTTAAAGGTGTTGCATTTGCTGCTGTAATCTTGTTTATTCTTTTAGTTAAATAGAGACCTAACTCAGTCTGATATTTAATCAAAAAGATAATCCTCTCGTCTAGTTTCTTTGTAAAAAAACCCCAATGTCTGCATTTTTAATATCACTGGTTTAATTTTGAACTAATGCTGAATTTAGTGTCAGCAAAACATTGATATCAGTGATCTTAAACTAAGCCAATGATATAATACTGTCAGTTAGATGAATATTTCATTTAATATCTGATTTGATATTGATGAAACATTATTCTAAAGGTCTGGGACGTATTTGATGGTCAAGAAAAGAAAAAGAATAAAAGACTCATGTGAAAATGGGGTTTGGGTCAGTCATGCTTGACAGGCACAAAAGCATTTGACTTTTTTTGACCTTTTTAGAAACATAGTTTTGTGAAGAAAAGAGATGACTCAATTACTCTTTATAGCAGGCAATAAGAAATTGTGCCGGTGACCATGAACTTGTGATTTGATCCAAATCTCTATTTTCAGAGGAGCCAGGCCACATTTTCCCAGCTCCATCACCACTTCTCCCTACAGGGAGCAGTTCAACACCCAAGGGCAGCTTTGTTTTGCAAAGCCACTTTTGCAAAGGCTTTGCTGGGTGCTTGGATGGGTGCAGCAGGGGTGGTTCCTGCCAGGCTCTACCCTTGCCATCCTCTGTGGTGGTGTTCACAGGGGTCCCAGGATGAGGGAAGAGAGGAGGATCTGACTCCATGTTTCAGAAGGCTGATTTATTATTTTATGATATGCATTATAATAAAATTATCCTAAAAGTATAGAAGAAAGGATTTTATAAGAAAGGTAGCTAAGAATAGAATAAGAAGGAATGATAACAAAGGTTTGTGGCTTGGACAGAAAGTCCAAGCCAGCTGCCTGTGATTGGCCATTAATTACAAACAACCACATGAGACCAATCACAGATGCACCTGTTGCATTCCACAGCAGCAGATAATCATTGTTTACATTTTGTTCCTGAGGCCTCCAGCTTCTCAGGAGGAAAAATCTGAAAGAAAGGCTTTTTCAGAAAATGCCATGGCTACAATCCTGTGCCTCTTTTGTCAGGAAAAGCCCCGCATTTCCTGCGGCTGCAGAACGTGGAGGTGAACGTGGGGCAGAACGCCACCTTCCAGTGCATCGCCGGGGGAAAGTGGTCACAGCACGACAAGCTCTGGCTCCAGGTAAAGAAATGGCTTTTTGTGGTTCATTTGGGGCTTTCTTTGCTTTTGCAAGTGAAATGAATAGCTGGAGAAAGATTGGTGGTGAGGCAAAATGTTTTCATGACGATCCTTTGAAGAGCTGCCGTAAATCGCTTATAGGTAAGAGTTTGAGGTGATAAAGTATGGAATTAGGAGACAGAAAAAGGAAAAAATGGCCAGTGACAGCGAAATTCTGGTTTCAAACAAATGCCCATGTACCTGTAAACACTCAGCCATAAAGCAGAAGGGAGAGGAAGTGGAACAGTTCTCTTCTGCTTTATTGTGCCATCTGCTTTCCTTTCACCCTCAAACTGTTCAGCCTGGAGTCAACTGATATTTGTTAAGAAGGAAATCTCCAAGGTCTGAAATTACTTATCTGGGTGGTTAAAATAGGCAAACCCAGTTTGCAGTCAGTTCTTGCTCCCAGTTTCCCTTGGCTGCATTGACAACTGATTTGGTCTTGTTCCTTTTAGTCACTCACTGAAAGAGTAAAGCATTCCCTCCCTGGATGTTGTATTTGCAGTCTACTGATGAAACTTGTCTGGGTCCTGCTGTTCTGGTGGCTGCAGCAAAAACCTTGGGAATTCATTGTCAGTGTTAGAATTGACACCAATCCCAACATCAGCACATGGGGTGTGTGTGTCCCAGTGAACGGCACAATAACTTCTCCTTCCCCTTGAATTTTTCTCATGTATATACTCCCAGCATTACCATTCCAGAAGCTTTTAAAATCATTGAGTTCCTAGATGTTCAACTCCTAAACAAGTCAAGAGAATTCTTGTTGCATGTACACAAGGCCAAGATAATTTGGAGAACACTAAAGCCAGTCCAAAAGTTTTATTCTCAGCTTGGAATGATGTGACTGAGGTTTGATCACCCCATAGTTGTAACATCTGGGGAAGACAGGAAGGGCCTTTGTAGTCAAATAATTACCAGATTTTATCAAATTTTATAATTGACTTCAGGCATTTTAATAAAATTTAAAAATAACATTTTCAAATCTAGCTTAAATCAAGGAATTGGCTTGTCTAATCATAAAAATTTAAAATAGTTTTGGGAAAAAGGCTTAAGCTGGTGAGACATGTAGTTGGCATTATGTAAAAATGATTTTATATTCAGTAACTATACTCTCATCACAGCTGTTCTTCTAAAAATTACATTTTTAACCTAAATTTATTTACCTGTGTTGTACGTCTAGCACCCACTGAGATATATTTTTGACTTACCTTTTTTGGTTCTTTCATTCTAATATTTCCCCAGTTACAATTACATGTATGTAAAAACAATTCTGACCTACAGCAATATGAACATTTCCCTGTGAGAAGCAGAGTTGGAAAGGAAAGAATTGCTATTGTTAATGAAAACCTGCTTTCCATTCTCTGAAACTGCAACATTTAATGAAAACAGCCTTGGAAACACCCCTAAAAACTGTTTAGTGGAAACTGCCAAAATAGCAATGTGCTTTTCTTTGAAATTTCTAATAAACTGGACAAATGAGCAAGTTGAGGTGTTTATACTGTAGAGAACAATTTCTGGCTAATTCTTCATCTGTCCCTTTTCCAATTGGAAAAATGTGGTCTGGCATTGGTAGAGAGGTTTATTGGGGAATGTTAGATATACAAGAATGTCTGCTCATCCAACCAATTTATTTAAATTGGTCCAGAATCAGTGTTTTGCATCTGAAAAGGCCAAATTTACAGAATCTGTTCATTTGTAGTGTTTGGAGGTGAACACAAAGCCTTCAGCTGTTGTGTTTTCTCATCCAAGCTGGGCCTCTAATTACACTGGGTGGAAGTGGACAGTGGCAGTGAGAGCTGCTCCTCTGCAGCCTTTGCAGGAATTAATCTTTGAGTCAGAGAATGTCCTGGGCTGGGAGGGACCCCCAGGATCAGCCAGGGCAGCCCCAGCCCTGCACAGACACCCCAACAGCCCCACCCTGGGCACCCCTGGCAGCCCCTGGAGCTCTGGCAGCCTCGGGGCCGTGCCCATTCCCTGGGGAGCCTGGGCAGTGCCAGCACCCTCTGGGGAAGAGCCTTTCCTTGATACCCAGCCTAAACCCCTCTGACACAGCTCCAGTCATTCCCTGGGTCCTGTCCCTGTCACAGAGTTCCTACTCTGACCAAGCCAAGTGTCCTCAGTGTCCTGCCCCTCATATGGGTTCCTCCGGAAACTTTATTCCTTAGGACACACCAAAAGCTCAGATATAGCTCAAATATTAAATAGAAATGCAAACTTAAATATATAATAGAATCACAGTTTTGGGTTTGGAAGGGACCTTAAAGCTCATCCAGTCATGGGCAGGGACCTTCAACTGTCCCAGGCTGCTCCAAGCCCTGTCCAGCCTGGCCTTGGGCATTTCCAGGGATCCAGGGGCAGCCACAGCTTCTCTGGGCACCCTGTGCCAGGGCCTCAGCACCCTCATATTTAGGGCCCAGGTCAGACAGCCCTGTGGATTTCCTGAGGGAAAGGCTGAATTCTTCCCTTGAAAAGCCATGCTTGTCCAAAACCTCTCCCAGCAACGTGAACGCAGAACTCTGACCACGTTAATCACCCCAAGGAGCGACTCACACACAGATGCACCAACACCTAACCTACCTGTCCCCATGATGGCAATATTTCTCTCTGCCCCTGCAGCAGTGGAACGGGAGGGACACGGCCCTGATGGTCACTCGAGTGGTCAACCACAGGCGTTTCTCAGCCACGGTGAGCGTGGCCGACACGTCGCAGCGCAGCATCAGCAAGTACCGCTGCGTCATCCGCTCCGACGGCGGCTCCGGCGTCTCCAACTACGCCGAGCTCATCGTCAAAGGTAGGAGAAGCAAACCATCTTCCTGCACAAGGAGTGGTTCCTCCCTGTCGCTGTCATATTTTCTGAAAAAATCTCTTTGCTTGGGATTTCTTCTCCTGGAAAGTAGAGAGACATCAAAGAAAAATGAAAACAGTAATTGTTTGATTCGCTTCTCCTGTGTTTTGCTGCTTTGGAATGTGGTTTGGGCATTGTTTAGCAACTGGTTGTTGTTTTATTGGTTTCATGTGAAGTGTTTTAACTTAATGACCAATCACAGCCAGCTGTGTTGAGACTCTGGAGAGAGTCACAAGTTTTCATTAGTACCTTGTTAAGCCTTTTGTCAGTATCCTTTCTCCATTCTTTAGTATAGTTTTAGTATAGCACAATATATAATATAATATAATATAATATAATATAATATAATATAATATAATATAATATAATATAATATAATATAATATAGTGCCTTGTAAGAATACAGAGTTAGATTCTCAATTCCTCCTCCATCTGGGGAACCCAGAAAATACCACAGATAACTGTCTATAAAAACTGGCATTCTGTTGGACCTCCTTTCATTTGTGTTAAAATAAGGAAAAAGGGTGAAAGTGACATGAGTTTAAGTTGGTATCTCTGGTATTTGAATTTAAGCTTTGGACAGAGCCCTCTTTGGGAAGTTTTGTAGTAGAATATGGTGGCTATGGAGGCTTTTGCTGTAGTCAGCTGAATAGTTTGGCTGTCAGTCAGCTTCACAAGCTGCTTTCCTTTCCAGTATTTTATCAGGCAGAAATAATCTTGTGGTGGAGCATTGCATGTCAGCAGAGACTGTTCAGGGCTGCTGGCAGTAAATGCTGGGGTTGATTCTGCTGACACCCTGAAGTCCAGAGTAGAAGCATCAGTAGTTCTTGAAGGGTGTTTGGATTTTAGCCATGTTAATTACCATGATTCAAGAGCCTGACACATTCAGGGGGTGTCTTAATCTCAGCTTCCTGAGGCAGGTGGTGAAGTGCTATCCCCTATGCTGGGTTCTTATTTATTTATTTTTTAACCCAACCTAGAGCTGCACCACTGGAGTGCTCACTGACTCTTAGGTGGTGAGTTCAGAAAGTGGCTGAGTTGTTCCTGAGGTACTCTGTGTTTGGGGTGAGAGGAGTTTGAAGTCTGGATCTGCTCACAGGGTATAATTTAGTGATCTAAATGGAGGGTATGAAAACAGAGGGCAGCAGTAGAAATGAGATCAGGTTGTCCACTGTGCTGCTTTCTGCCAGCTGATCTGTCCCTTGGTGATCAGGTGCCTTTGCTATGCCTTGGAGTGTTGTGTGATGCAGATGTTTGGACCACACAGATCACGAGGAGAATGCTTGTGCTGGATGCCAAGGGCTTTTCATTCCCACCCAGTGATCCTGTATCTTGCTCAAATCTGGAGGAATTAATTCAAGATTAAAAGGGGATTGAGCTGCCAGGAGTGGCAAACCTAGGATTGCACCACAGCTAAACAGAGGGAAGGCAGATTCCAGGGCAAGCAGCTGTCAGAGCAGTCCAGGCTCAGTTAGGTGCCTGGAATTCACAGAATGACCAGGTTGGAAGAGTCTTCCAATGTCATTGAGTCCAATCCAGCCCCAACGCCTCACCCAAACCCTGGCCCCCAGTGCCACATCCAGGCTTTGTTAAACACACCCAGGGATGGGGACTGTGCCACCTCCCTGGGCAGCCATTCCAGAACTTTATCACTCTTTCTGTAAAAGCTTTTTCCCAATCTCCAGCCTGTATTTCCCTTGGTGCAGCTTGAGAACTTCATGTTTGTTGATACAAACAGGGAAAAAAATAGAAGAATAAATTAAAACCTGATGTCCAGCAGGAAAGATGCTGATGGCTTCATTGCTGGGTTGCTCAGCAATGCACCCACCTGGAAGGAACTTGAACAGGATCAAATTGTTGTGGGAAGGTCCCATCCTGCTCCTCATCCCTGATTAGGAAGCAGGGGAGGTTAAGTGGCTCATTTGAGGTCAGTTTGATGCTACCCTGTGACACACTGGGCTTCCAACCAGTCTGACTAATTTTAGTGTGAATAATAGCAAATTTGTAATGCATGTGCACAGGCGGAAATGAAAGCAAATTGGAATTGTTTCATTCTGAAGAGATGATTATTGAATTGTAATAATGTACTTGAGCATACATTCAATTAGCCTGTAATTGAGGTTTTGCTCAATTGATAGTCCTGCTCCTAAACCTGCTAAATCCAAGCTAAATCTCTGCTTCTCACGTGATTTCTCTTGATCAGAGGAACGTAAAATCACAGGGTGTTTCTTCAACAAAGATTAAGATTTAAAATTGTATTTTAATTGAAGATTTTAATTGAAAGATCTGTTTGCTTCCCTATGCATAAGAAGTTTTATTGGAGTATTTAGAACAAAAAATACTTTACATTTCTCAATATTGAATGAAAAAGTTTGGTAGATATCAGAAGAAAGGTTTTACTTTGAAATGTGGATACTCCTAAAGCCCAAATTGGGCAGTAAATACCTGTTTCAGCACATGGAATGATCAATAAAATTAAACACACCACCCTGATTGTCTGTGGGCAGCTTCACTAAGAGCAATGTATTATTGAAAAGAAATTACTGGCAATTTTTTACAAAAGAATATAACAGTATTAGTTCCAAATTATTCCAGTATGTTTAGTGGCAGGAGATACATTTGTAATCCTGTGAAAATGCTGTTCTCTAGGCAGCTATTTGCAGTATGTGCTAATGCTTCTCTGTCTTCTGGCTTGAATAAATGACAATACATTTATTCTTCTCTTTGCACTCTCCAATCATAATAGGCAGGCCGGAAAAACCTATAATTTCCATCTGCCCCCCTTGCCATCCTTTGGTGCTCCAGTGGAAATAGCTCATCTCTATTTCTTCTCTCTCACTGGTGCACATATAGTAATTTAATACAATTTTGTACAGGGCAGTTTAAAAAAAAGCCCAGAGATTCTGTGTCTCACTACACTGCTCACACCTGAATGGAACATTTCCTGCCTGTAATTTTCTTTTAAGTAAAAGCTGCGTGGCAGTTCCTCGTATTCTGAGCAAAATGTGGGCCTTGCTTGTACAAAGATTGTTTAAAATGCTGTGGAAATTGGCTAGAATGTTATCATTTAAGGTCTGTATTAATGCTGGTGTCCTTCCAGGACACTTGTCACATTAGGTAAGGCTGTGGATAACATTTTAAACTCTGTGGGGGGGTGTATGGAGGAGTGTTTGCTGTTGGTTTTTATTCCTTGATCCCTTTCAGGTACTCTGGATGCCCAAATTAATCACTCACTATATGATAGGAATCCGAGCAGAGCTGATAAAGAGGGAATATTACAGCATCTAAATCCTATTTTTATGAGCCAGTTTTTCTGAGGTTTTCACTCTCCAGAAGCCTCTCAAAATTAGTTTCTTGGTACCTGTTGCTACCTTAACATCCTCTTAAGGCTTCTGGCATGTTTATATGGTCTGTTCTGCTACTACAGGGGTAGGAGGAGGCTCAGCCCAGCCTCTCCACACACCTCCAAGGGGATGTTCTAGCTCTCTTCAGTTTTGTCTTAGTGGATTTTCAAAGTGTTTGGCTGGAATAATAACCTGCCTCTCACCTGAGAGGCTTTCTGTCATCACTGTGGTATTTGGGACAGCTCACTTGTGCTTTTATCAGGCTTTTATCAGTCACAGGAGGAGCTGATGCCTTGAGTGACACCAGAGGGAGAGGTGGGCTCCTTGTCAGAGCTGGTTATCATTCTCTCTCTGGGTCTCTTCTGGTGTGGCGCTCATCACTGCAATTCCACCATCTGTTTATTGACTCACCAGGTACACGCTGAAATCTGCTCCAGTGATTGAGTCTCTTCCTAAAAGCAGGCACCAGAATTTACAAAATAAAACTAACCCCAAACCACAAAACTAAGCAAAACAACATAGACAGAAGCACTAAACAATGAACTGAATCAAAAGAACCTGTCAAATTGTTGGAGTTGAGATGCTCAGGTGTGAAAAACATGATAAATAATTATCTATTTAAATAAATCCATATATGGAAGCTTCTCCAGTATGAAATACACTTTGAAATTTTCAGATTTACAGTTTTAAGACAGACTCATCAAGGAAAAGCTCTACAGGTATTTTGCTGTCTGAGTATTTATTACTGGAGCTGACTCCAGTAGTTTCAGTTAAATATTCAACAGCAGGAAGTCCTATGAGGAAAAAGAATTTTCTGGAGCTTTAAAATCATAAGAAATTAAAACATTTTTGTTCTTCAGCTGAGGCTGATCCTGGGCTGGAGCTGGTTCTACAAATGTCACATCAGGCTCTCCACTGATTTCCTTGCAAACTCAAAGTTCAGTGTGGGCATGGAAGTGTGTGATTCATTTGTGTGTAACACACTCTGGAATGTGTTCCTGGGATGAAAAGAGAGTTCCATGTAATCATTGAGGAGACTAACTCCAAAGTTTTTCACTTCCTATAGAGCTGTTATGGATGAATATGAAAAGACCCTTTAAATATTTTCTGCATTGGTTAGTTTTTTTGGAGGTTTTTTTTATATTTTCATGCCTGATACACAGATAGTTCTATACCCTGAGATATTAATGCCAAATGTGCTCATTAAAATGGACAAATGGGGTAAAATATTGCCAAATATTGCCCCCTTGCCATCATGGGGTAACATAACCTCTGCTGGTGATGCTCAAGTCCCCATACTTCACCCAGGAGATGGGGTATGGATATGAAAAGCAGATTCTGTATTGGAACTGTCCTCTTTTGCATCAGGGTGGCTGGAAGACCACGTCCCTCTGTCCTTTAGAACTCTTTGGGAGACAAGTTCAGCTTTGTCATGTCTGGTTTAGATTTTACTGTTAAAAGAAGCATTTTTTTCCATGTGCATTAATAAGCAACTGGCAGATGTGAGGATTCCTATCTGAATTTATCAGGTTCATCCAGATCACAGAAGTTTCTGGGCACCTTTGAATTCATCTGCCTGAGTTCTGCACATTAATCGAGGTC